AATACTGAGAGAAGTAGAGGATACAAACACCAGTGGCAGCTCATGCTTTCCAGCTAAGGACAGAAGTCATCTCAGGGCTGAATAGTCACATGGTGAAAACTGAGAAGATTCTGTGAATTAGGAGTGCTCAGCTGGCCTTTCAGAGAATGGCAGGAGTAAAAGCCACTGCAAAGAGCAAGTGTAAGAGCAGTGAGTGAATGCAGTCCCCACTGCACTTAGGACCAGGTCCAATGTCGTTACTGTGCTTTCAAGACCAGTCGGCCTGGCTCAGCCCTATTTTTTCTTGTTCAGTACTCTGGCCGCACTGCCTTTCTTCTGATCCTCCAAGTCACTGTGTCTCTTCTGTCCAAGCACTGTTCCATGTCTGGTTCCCTCCACCTGGAATGCTATTGCTCTTATTCTTTGCTTAGCCAATTCCTGTTCAGCCTTTAGATCTCAGCTGAAATGTCCCTTTTTCTGAGAGGCCCTTGTCAGGACTGCAGGGTGAGGCCAAACGAGCTGTGCCCTGCTGAGCACCTCGTCTGCAAAGAAGAGCGCACCAGTCTAAATTCAGTCCCCAGTGTAGACTCTCATAGCCCATGACAGTTAAGATCTTGAACCCACCAGTGTGTCTGATCGTTTGTGTGATGGAGCCATGAGCTCTGGGGGGCAGGGGAGCACGTTGCTTTAGGGAGCACCTAGCCAGTTCTCAGCCAGCACTGTTGAGTGAATGAACAAATGTGGGACTACTCCTGAAGTTTGGCAGCTTGGTGTCCAAGCAAAGGAGAAGGAATGACATCAGCTGAAGTCAGTGATATGTTCAAGGATATGGGTTGTGGGTGGACTTGAGCTCAGGGAGCCTGGGTGTGTTGGTGGCAGCTGTTGGGTGGTGGGTGGATGAGGCTCCACAGGAGTTGCAGGTGGAGGCAGAGCCGGCCTGAGGACGAGAAGGCCCTCTTGACCCTGCGACAGGAGACAGGTGATTGAAATCACAAATATTAGTGAGGCTCAGGTAAAATTAGACAGTGTGAACCAATCTGCTGGGGAGTACCCCAGCACTTTCCATCATAGTGGTTTAATATCTGAAGAAGAATGCTGAAGGAAAATTTCAACGTCTCGTGGGCATGGTGGCTGCACCTGCGACCCAGTGAGAAGCTGAGCTGTAGCTGTCAGACTCATTTGCCACTTTGGGGGCCCTCGTGAGTGCCAAACCCCAGCTGTGCCAGGGCAGTTACGCCTCCATCATCCTGCTGGCTGTTTGGCTGCACAAGAGAAGAGATCAGTCTCTGATTAGCATTGACTTGGAGCACGTGTGAGGACTGTCACGTAAAATGGACACTTGTTTTGTAGCATGTATTGCTTTACTTTGTCCCTGGGAGACTGATTTTCTTCATTAAGGGTTTGCTGACAAGTTTGATGTCTTCTGTCTGTAATAGTGGGTGCCACATAAGATGGCAGGATCGTTCTTTGGAAGGAGCTGGGTTTGGTGTCTAAGATCACCGGAGAAGTCTGTGGCAACATCAGTTTGATTGGATCTGCAAGATTTTAGGACAGAGGATATACGACACCATTGATGATCACCAACATTGTGGCACTCGCTGTGCTATTGAGTATCAAAGTAAATCCTGGAGATCGAACTCCCAGCCTGTGTCACCACACCCCTCACCACAGGAGTCAAGGGTGAAGTGTGCTCGTATGCAAGTGAACTTTGCAAGGTGTGTGCATCAAGGGCAAGGGGTACTGGAGAAAGCCTGCAGTGACCGAGTGAAAGGAGCACAGTGCCCCTGCCATATTGATACATAGTCACTATCCAGTGTGATACCCCAGCACCTTTGTCGCCCTGACCACAAGTGAATTCTCATGTTCACAGTGACTCATGGTAGATGTGGCCCAAGGCTACCAGCCTTTGAATTTTGAGGAACCCAATCCACCGAATTTTGAAATGATGAAATAGCAAAACATCTTTGAAAAACATTTTTTAAATAAAAGTCGTAATTTTTCATGGTACAAAAACTATACCATAGAAGTGCGAAGTGACAGGTAGAAAGTCCCTCCTGTTCTCATTGCTCAGCAGTTTCTCGGGTGCCTCTGTCATTCCTGTGTCCTCCTGCACTCCTGCCCTCCTCCCCTTCCGACTCTTGTAATTCTTTTAAATATTTTTGCAATGAATGACATCATGTATCTGCTCAGCAACATCATTTATGCACTTAATTATCTAAGACACTCTTGCATGGCTACATGAGAGGTAACGTTTTTTAACCAGCTTCCTTGACAGACATTAGACATTAGGATTGTTTTCCAGATATTTTCCCTTCATTTTTTGTACATTAGCGTGCTGCTGTAGTGTAGCTGTTACAAGTAGTTTCCTTGTACAAATATTTTTGCTTGCATTTGAGAAGAAATCTGAAAGATCTAGACCTAGAAGTCAAATTTCTGGGTCAAGTGCATGTGGATGCTTAACTGTTGGTGGATGATGCCTGTGTTCTCCCAGCAGTACTGTGTTTGAGTGCATGGTCCCCACACTCCTGACGGTCATTGTCAAGCAGTCAGCATCTTGTTCCGGTTTGCACTTCTTTAGTTTCGAGTGGGCTTGAAGATATTTCCGTGTGTTTCCTCAGTGTGTTTTCTTCGTCGGTGCGTTGTCTGTAATTGTTGCTCATTTTCCACTGGGGTTATCTTTTTATTAGCAGTTTGTAAGAACTTCGTCCATATTAATGTTTGCCACAGATACTTTCCTCAGTTTATTGTTCATCTGTAAGTGGTTTTTTGTTTAGTCTGGTTTCTTTTTTCTTTTTTTTTTTTAATCAATTGTGTCTTTTTATGGCTTCTAGGTTTTACATCATGAAGTTCTTCCTGTACTTTAAGATGTATTTTTAAAATTTTCACTTATGTTTTCTTCAAATATTCTTATGGTTTTACGTTTCACTTTAAATGTGGTATGTATGGAATTTATTTTGGCTTAAGGAATGAAGGTAGAGATCCAGCCCTGAGTTTTCCAAATGGTCATCTCAGCACCATTTTTTGAGCACTCTGTTGTCTTCCCGTAGAATCTTTAAATTTGAGATTTTCTGACTGAGAAATGTATTTAGAGTGGCATCCAGATAAAACCTGGTGGATGTTGACTTGGGAAAGCTGCATTTGTAGTGTTGCAGGAGGAATTCCACATAAATTAGGAGTACTGGTGGCTTCTGCCTAGGGTGGGCGATGGAGGGGGTGCATGTGCCAGCAGTGGTCGTAGGATCTGTGACGATGCTGGCACAGGAGGCAAACTCCTGATAAGGGACCCATGTTCAGGTAGCAGGTTCATCCCTTGTGCGTCGTGAAGCTTCACCCTGTCTGTAAAAAGATTCTCTCTGAACTAAGGAGACAATTCTTCATGAGAATGTATTTGACATTTGATGTTCTTAAGTAAATAGGAACTGCTTTTATAGAAATTTAACTATATAATTTGTCAAAATTTATAACTAGCTCACTAGAATTCATTGATCCGATTAAATGGGAGCTCTCAACATAATATTCCTGAAGTATCAAATGGAATTTTAGGATTAGTATAATTTTAAGACTGCATGTGAAGTCAGTAAGCAACATGTCTTCTGAGTATTAAAACCTCGTTACTTTATGATCAGAGGCCTTGACCAAAGTGTTGGAAGTTGTGGAATTGGAAGGCCAGGGTGACAGTGTCTGTTGTGGTGGACTGTGACGCGTGTAACAAAACATAAAACGGTGGTGGTGGGAGAGGGGAAGGGCACCTGTGGAGGGGCTGTGCTGTGGTGAGCCAGACCCGGGGACGGGCCTGTGCTTCCAGGCTTTGCTGAGAGTGCTGGCAGGCAGAGCCGAGAGCTGTGGCTCGAGTGAGGGTTTCTCTTTGCAGGTGCAGGACGAGCTGATAACTGAATGATTGAGGCTTAAAGTAGAAAAAGCTCATCTACTAATTACTTAACGTTTTCTCTGAAGTTGACGCAAACTGAAAGGAGTGGGGCTCTGTGACATGCGTGGTGAGGGGAGGGATGGACGCTCACGAACCAGCACACGGGCTGCCTTGATGAACACTACGTGCACCGACATGTGAAGCCCGCAGAATGACCTTGGCAACACCATTGGGAAATGAACTTTCTAAAGCTCGTTGATTTGCTTAAAACCTAGATATGACTCCAGACAAGTTCTTTTCTTCTTTATTCTAAATACTTAAGCATAAATTGCACTGTATTACTTTAAAGCATAGTTCTGAGACCTGTGAACTTCAGAGTCAAGCCATATAACTTTGTAACGTTTGTCTAGATATTAAATTTAGTTGGGCTCCATTGAAAATTATGGAAGATAAACTAACTCAGAAATAAGTTTACTACTCTTATTTTAAGATGAACATAGGGCTTAAATTCAATCAGGTGCATATATTTTGATGTTTTTTGGTAATGTATCATATAACCACAAAATTAAACAATTTCATTGGTATACATAGAACAAACAGGGAAATGCAAAATATTAAACAGTAATGTTATAGATTCTACTTGATAATTTATGAATTAGACTTAATTTAATGGGTATATATGAATGGTGTAAAAAAATTAATAAGATATTTGTTTTCATTGCACTACAGTTAGGGCCAATTCTTTGAGTGTAACTTCGGCAGCAGAATTTCTGAATTTTAAATTATGGCTTCAGTTGAAAGAAGTACTCTTATATTAAGTGATTTTTGAAGGTAGCTGGCTTATTTAACCTTTCAAAATAGCCTGAGCCATTATGTTTGGGATCATAACTACCTGCATTCTCTAAATGAAGGAGAATTAATTTTCAGGATTAATATAGGATGTTGAAAACATAAGCCTCACACTGAAGAGAAACATGGGCTGGCCCCATGGCTCACTCGTGAGGGTGCAGCGCTGGTAGCTCTGAGGCCTTGGGTTCAGATCCTATAGGGATGGCCCGTGCACTCACTGGCTGAGCATGGTGCAGACCACACCGTGCCGAGGGTTGCGATCCCCTTACCGTTCAAAAAAAAAAAAAAAAGAAACATGATGACTTGGTCACTTGCAACATGAAGCTTCAGGGTCTTAGTGGATTTTGTTTTAAATCCCACAGTCCCATTTTGCTGTCAGCTAGTACACACCGCCCTCGCACCTCTTGTGGAAACACGGCAAGCATCGTTGTCTGTCTTCTGCATCACAGCCCAGCCATGAGGCACGAAGTTAAATAGGCACCGAGGACTGCAGATGCGCTGACGAGGTTTGGAACCCCGTCTGTCGCCCTCAGCGTCACTTCCACCCCTTAGAACGTTGGGTATTTGTTGAATGAATGCATGCCTTACTCCTATTGGAGAGACGAGTTGGTTTTCACATGCCACGAGCATTGCTGTTGGAACTAGCAGTTCTGAACACACACAAATACGCTGCTTTGGGGCCGGACCATTGTTGTGGTCCAGCACCACACTTAGCTTCCCTGCCCTGGTTTACATATAAAAGGAAGAGCCAAGTGGCTGTCTAACTTCACATGCTTCATTAGTGATGATGTTTTGTTTAACTCCATAAAAAATAAACATTTCATCATGTCAGGAAATGAGTAAACGCTACTTTAGATTTGTAGAACCAACTTGGAATTAAATTGTCATCATCATACCCAGCAGCAAAGAGAATAAGAAGGGTGCCCTTCCATTCGGAATAGGATTGTGATCCTCTGTGTAGAAATGTGTACATTTTCATTTTTCTGTGATAAAAATGGCCCTAATATTTTATATTTTAGTGTCATGTTAGAGACTTCATTCCATGATCATTTGTTCATTCACATGTATTTTTATTTTTAGCTCTAAGCGAAAGACATGAGGCCTCAGCCTGAATGAGGTTGTTTTGAGGTCATCTGATTTCTGGCTAGAAGGTGTGCGGTCGCCTCGTCCTGAAACCACTGCAAACAGAATGGTAATGGCAAACCTGAGAGAGAGAGAGAGAGAGAGAGAGAGAGGGAGAGAGGGAGAGGGAGAGGGGGGCCTTCATGTCTTTCCATGTCTGTTCTCCTACCCCAGTTTCTTCTTCCTTTTTAAGATTTAAACATAGTGACGTATCTTAACTGATGCAAATGTTTAACAAAAGGATTATCATCATAAATCTACATGCCTTTTAGAATTGTTAAAACAGTTTTTTAAAGTGAGCTGTAGAGAGCTACTTAACTAGCAGCAAAATATTTATTATATGAAAAAACCTGAGCCATTAGGAATTTGCAGGTTGAAATAATTTTTTTTCTTTGAAAACCCACAGGGTTTGCTCTCAAACAAAAGGGAATCCAGACTTAAGTTTTTTAGACTAGAAAGTAAGGATTCTTGCTACAACTTTCTTTTCCTATGGTAAAGAATTTTGCTGTTTTATGTGTCTGTGGGGTTTTTTTTTTTTTAGTTTTTAAAAATGTCAAGTGCCTATTGAGAATGTTAATTCTGTCAGTTAACTTTGCTTTATTTTACATGTAGTAGTTAACTCTGTTTTAATTATTACATGTTCAAAATATATTTTATAGTTGAAGGAAATTGGGCTGTTTTTTTCACTATAGTGAACCTTTTTGGGGTGGGGGGGTCTTCTCTTCATTATTAAGTTTATCCTCATGCACCATGTCGTCTTGATGTAGCAGTGCTTATAGGCAATTGGTAGGCTTCACTCCCCTAGCAGTAGAATTCCAGTATAGTTCTTTGCTCAAGTTCAGATTTTATACTAAGCCATTACTTCAGAAAAGTGACTCTTTATGATATTTATTCCCTCTATTACCTGTCACAGCATTAGTAGCAAGAACAGTGTCACAAATTTACTTACAGCTAGCCTAAATTGTGCATTTATTTAATTGATGAATGCTGAGAAAATTGTTTCCTCCCATTCTGGAAGGCAACACAGAAGGCAAACTCAAAGGAAGTGACAGCATTTTTATTTTTTAGAAAGTCAATTTTATTTTCACGTTTTCTTCTAGAGGCTCAGTTCTTAACTAGAGTTCTATATGTTACTTCATCTCTCTACAAACAATAATTTCTTACCCTTCAATCTCAGATGTTGAAAGTGACTTAAAATTTATAAAATGTGTCCTTTTTCTTCATGTATGTGACTCTCCGTAATGACTGGAGAATTGTTCACATGCACTAAGAAAAAATTACTCGTGAGCTGGCCATGGAGATCTGGGCCCTGTTTGGCTGCAGTGACTTCATGTCTGGAGTCCCAGCGTAGGCTTCCCCAGGCCAGCCTTGCCTCCTTGTTCTCAAGAAAAGCAGTGTGCAGTGAACTACAGCTTTTCTATAGAATGATTACACAGGCTGGCCTAAATGACACGGTCTTTAAGCCTATAGTAGAAAAATTGTTCATATAGTTCACTTTTGTGCATCAATGTTTTAATGAGAAATAATCACTGATGTTTTTATTTTTGGAAATTCGGATTTCTTATATTTCCCCAAACAGAATTTCTTTTTCATTTTTTTTCTTTTCCAAAAAATATCTGTCTAGATTGGTTGTTTTTGAATTTACTTTGAAGAACATCTTTCTTATTTCATGTGCTAAAAGTTAATGCAGTAAAAGCAAAGAGGCTTTAGCTACTATTAATTGGCTAAAAAATAGTTTCTAAGGTATGTTTATACAGGAACAAAAATCTATAATTTCATTTATGCTTCTGAATGTCTGTCCCCATGATGAAAGCTTTTAAGAGAAAGTACAGACAGATCTAATGCCACTTTAAAGCCCCAAATTGTGAATGTGAAGATATTTTGACCCAGTAAAGACTAGATAATTAAGAAGGTGGTGTGTATGAGTGGAGTTTAATATTCATTTTGCTATATGTAAACTGCCTTGTTTTTAAGTAAAACTTTAGTATTTAAGAGCTTATAACTTTTAAGTTGAGAAAAAGCATCAATTTTAAAATGTCATTTTGAAAATTATAAAAGTAAATGTGACCTTTTTTAAGAAAGTCTTTTTCTTTGACATTGTTTAATTTTTTTCCTTTTTGTTTTTTAGGTTTGCAATTTTTTTTGGTGATGGCATGTTCAGAATCTTGGATCCCTATGTTGCATATATTGGAAATGTTTAGGAACCCTGCAAAATATGTTGTTTTTGTATTTATAATGACTTGCTAGGTGAATCAGCAGATTTAATAAAAGTGTGTAAAAGAACAGATACTACAATTTTGTACATCTAAATTGGCATGCATGTCTCAAATTATCAGCTGTCAAATAGTAGTGTCATAATCTGGAGACAGTCATCTTTTGAAGGTTTGGGGGGGCTTCTTATGGACCAGGCGGCTTGTGTAAATCCTCCCATGCCTGTTTGGTCAGCTCTTTTTCTGTCTGTCTTGCAGTGTGGTTACTAAAATCAGAGGTAATTATTGATCAGGAAGAGAGAAAAGAAAAAAAAAAATCATCAGGTGACAATTCTAAAGGTAGTATTTACAAAATTTCAACCTGGGAATGGCCTCAGAATGGTCAAAATTAGACATTACTGTGTAGCGCAGCAGTGCTAATGAGGAAAAGGGACTGTTAGGTTTCACCTCTCTCTTCTGTCGCTGTTGTTGGGTGAATGAATTACTGGAAAGTAAAATGGCCAAAAGTTGTAGGCAGCACATGAAAAGAGGAGAAGGAAGAAAGCTTTACTCTCCAGGAAGAATTATTTCTCTCAGAAAATTGAAAGTTGGCCATATTCCATGTACCTGAGTGCATTATTTAACACCGTGGGCTACTCAGAGCGTGAACCGTGTTCTTGGCCATAGGAACGATGGAGAGCTCGCATTTGTGAGACCGTCCTCGAGTGACTGGGGCCAGCACTGGTGATCGACCTTTCCTCTCACCTGCTCCTGCTGGGATTCAGAGACACAAGGAACATTCTGGGGAAGATAGTTATTTCAATGGCCAAATGTGACTGTCTCCCTACTCTTCTTACTAAAACTGGGGAAAATTGATTTTTAAGACCACATTCAGAACAATTTGGAGAAGGCTCAGGGAAAGGATGAAGAGATCACAAGGAACTGCAGTGACTGAGCGGTAGCCCCGCGGACTGTTCCTACTAGTTTATTGCAAGTTTTGTTATTGGCGAATTTTCCAACATTCCTGAAATTAGTGTGGAGATGTTTTTGTAACATTTCTATTGGAAGGCTTTTAGGAGCTGAATAGGTCACCCCATTACCCTCTCCTTTTTTGCTTTGCTTTAAGAGAAATTGGCTGACATATATTTAATAGCACAATGAAAACATTAGATAGAATTTTTAAAAATCAAATTACATTTTAATGGAAATGTATGTTGTAGCTGAATAGGTCACCCCATTACCCTCTCCTTTTTTGCTTTGCTTTAAGAGAAATTGGCTGAAATATATTTAATAGCACAATGAAAACATTAGATAGAATTTTTAAAAATCAAATTACATTTTAATGGAAATGTATGTTGTCTGTTTAGCTGTGTTCCCATTACAGCTGGCCTTTTAAAAACTCTCCTGTGATACTTTTGTCGATAGAGGTGTTTCCTCTCATCCAATTCTAGCCACTGTACTGACTAGGCCTGGGCGTTTTATATCCCCAGAAGGAATTAGCCAGGCAGGAAAAAACTTGGTCCCTCCTGGAATGAATATTTTAAAGACCTTCTTAGATTCTGAAAACTGTGAGTGTAAATGAAAGAGACCCAAGAGAGGGAGGAACTTGAGAGCCTGAGTAAAACACAGTGGTGGGGGTGGGGGACGAACTCTTATGTAGCTAATCTGAAATGTGCAAAGGGAAGGGAGTCGCTTTCCTGGCAGTGATGAGGTGGCCTGTGAAAGACTGTGGGCAGCAGCATTCAGGTGTTACTTTGGGCAGCTCACGCTGGCATGCCACAGTGTTTTAAGGGTAGTGGCATGTAGTCTATGGAAATATTGACATTTCTTAACAGTGAGCTTGGTCTATTCTAAATGGGCGTGTGGCTCAAAAATTAGTTTAATTCAAAATAAATATGTTAGATATCAGAGAAAATATTATAAACGAGGGTATTTGTCACTGTTGTGTAGCTTTAGACAGTAATGTAGAGTACTGAGCACAGCACTGACAGCATGAATACCATCAGTGTTGATGGTGGTTTCCTAGAAACTCCTAAATAAAACCTGAAGCTGGTACTCAGATTTTATGCCAGCCTCAGTTGTACTGTGAGAGCGTTTCAATGTGAGTCTCATGGGAAGTCTGTACCTTCTTGGGTCATTGCACTTCACAGCCTGGCATATCACAGAGAATTCAGAAATCTGACACTGTTTACCCAGGGGTGAACAGATCTCTGAATTTAGAGACACTGAGTTCACAGGGGCACAAAGAGAACACGAGCCTGAAATAGTGGACTTTTGTATTTTGGAAGTTTTAGACAAACCCCTTTTGAAAATCTGAAGAAAGCTACAGATCTTTTCCCCCAAAAGACTGCACAGATAGAAGGTTTTCGTGCAGTTTCTGTTGCGGTGGGGACTCCCCCGGTTGTGTATCAGGAAGCCCTGATCTGACAGGTCGTCCTCCCCTGACTGTGGCCCATGCTCCGGAGCTGTTCTCACTCCCATTAGTGGCTTTCTGTTGCCTCTGAATCAAATGTCACATATTGAAGGACACCTACTGCTTTTCCATGTGAGGAACTGAAGCCACAAGTCAGAACTCTGTAATGAATTGGGCCAAAAGTTCCTTCAAAGGGCTGCCCCAAAAGTACAGTGGAAGAACAGAGCCCATGCCATCCAGGTGTGGTGAGCCACGGACCTCCTGCTGGGTGGGTGGGGGTCCTGTTTCATAAGTTGAATGTTAATGTCTTATTTTTGAAATGGGCATATTTCTTCTAAAACATCTAATTATTTTGAAGGTTTTCTCCATAAATGTGACATGTCTTGGGATATTGAATTCATGGTGTAAAATGTGCTCATCAGATTATAGTAGTGACGGGAAATTTGGGATTTCTGGTGTTTTGTGACTCTTAAATTTGCAGCACATTTTCAGGAAACTTGTTGAGATTCCCTGATAATTCTATCTTTATGATTTTCTGAATGTATTATTATTTCTATATTTTATCAAGCCACTTAAAAGTCCAGAGAAAACTATCTTCAGTTCATGTTTCGACACTGAATTGTGGATGCATTTTATTTATCTTATTAGAAATGTGTTTCAACAAAAAATGCATTTGAGCAGCTCTGGTCTTTACTTGGGGACATTGGGTCACCTGCCTGTTACCATTCATTGGGACTTCACTGTGAAATGCGGCTTCACCAGGAAGGTCGTCCTGGAACAGCAGGAGGTCTGCAGGACTGCAGTGTTGGCCTAGCAGAGGTGAAGAGCGCCATTGACGTTGCGCACTCGGTGCTTGCGACAGAGCCATGCTGTCTTCCACCAGCTATGGACACATGAAGTAGCATTGTGACATGTACCTTTAAACGCAGCCCTGACTTCTCGAGCGTTTGTCAGTGCAGCTTGTCTTCGTGGCTGTTGCAAGTGGGGGCCCGGATTGTCGACTGGCTGGGCTGCCTGGGCAGGCTGTGACCAACCAGCGCTTGGACAGCCTGGGGACAGCCTCACGCAGGAGGGATCCAGAGCCGACCCTGCCCTGCCTCCCTGCCTGCAGACCTGATGACATTTCTTTCCAGCCCCTCAAGATGTGCCAGCACAGCCCTGGGCATCAGGGCGCAGTCCAGTCTCCCACTGCCCATGGGGATGGTCCGCTCTCGCGAGTGGGGCTGTCGCCTTTCTATGAAAGAAAGCGCCCACTTGCTTCCTTTCCTTTTCTCTGCCCTTCCCGAGTGTTCTGTGGGCAGTAAAGAGCAGATCTGGACGCAGGGGTTGTGGTGGTCCAGGGGTTGCCTGTAGAAGTTCACAGCACTGTGTCTAGCTATAGGTTTTTAGTCTCCAGTGGGCTCTGCTTGGCATGGGCACTCTGCTGGTGTGGTTATCCACCCTTCCCTCTAAATGCAGTATTCTCTCCAGGCCAGGGACGGTCCCCAGCATGCCTGAGGCATCGGGAGACACAGAGCTGGCTTCTGTCTGGGTTTGCCAGATCCTGGAGTCGTGGTGCATGAGGTAGTGGAAGAGGCCCATCGTTCCCCACACTAGTGAAAACAAATTATGTGCAGAGAAAGAGCTCACGCTAATAAGACTTTGAAAGCAACGTTTGTGAAAAAATTGGCCAGATTTTTAGACCTGCATGACTCACATTGATCCACATTGACTATCCAGCTGTGTCTTTAAAAAAACAAAAACTAACATAACCCTTAAAAGAAATTACCATATTACCCTGATATATTAAAAATATATTACTTTAAATTTTTTGTGTGTGTAGTTTTCAGAAACATCAAATGTATTTTGTGTAAAAGAGGATATACTGTATGTAATAATTTTATGACTCTTGCTCCGATTAAAGTTAAGTGGTCTAATTATTCAAAAGCTAATGGTTTGAAATTATTTTTTGAAAATTTGATCCATGATACTATTTTTGCTTTTCAGGTAATGTACAGGTATTCTCAGAAGCTGCTTATGTGTGTCGTCATTGTTTTTTCCCCACGTATAAAAGTGTTGTAAACAGGTCTGTCTTTTTTCCAGTAAGAGTTCCTGAACTTTGGGCTGAAATGCCCAAGTGCTGGGGATCCGGGTGGCTGGAAGTGCACACCAAGCTTCCTGTGTGTGTAGCAGCCTTTGCCCAAACAAAGTAGCTTTGCACATTGGAAGGAGCTTTTAGTAAGTAGATTTTTATTTAAAAAAACTTGTGTATTGAAGGAAAGGAACCTAACAAAATGATCTATAAAGTTTAAAAAAACTTGTGTATTGAAGGAAAGGAACCTAACAAAATGATCTATAAAGATGAGGATGTGAGTCAGTGGTTCGCAGCTTTTCTACCCACAGTGCAAGAGATTCAGTGCAGGGGGAATGGGGAGGGGTGGGAGGGGGCAGTGTGGAGGTGGGATCTGCAGTTTGAAGGGAAAGGAAAGACCCCACCTGGAGCCGGCGGTGGTGTGGGTCAGTGTGTATGAGCTGCATCCTGTGTGGTCAAGGGAACTCGGGCACTAGAAGTCCACCCTCGTCGTTCTGGAACGACAGGCAAAGGACAGGTGCCGAGCTGTGGCAAATAGGAAAAAGAAAAGGATGGTGTGGGGACTTCACAGTGTTTTTCATTTAACAATGCTATCCCTTAAAATTTTATGTCCTTTATGCCCTTATTTTTTTGGTCGTCTATGAAGTGAAAAGGCTGAGAGCTGCTGTTTCTTGGAACTGTGCAAT